ACTTAGTTGACTTATACTCAGCAAATTATGTTTCAAACCATCAACAAGCAATACATTCTCAATCAATGTTCGAGAGGAGGAATTACCAACATTGCCATGGCCAAGAATTTTCCCTTTGTTGTTGTCACTATAGGTAACATACCCTTCATTCTTCAATTTCAGACTTGAGAATTTTGAAGGATCCCCAGTCATATGCCTTGAGCAACCACTATCAAGATACCAAAGTAGATTTTTGGCCCTCAAGCATTCCTACAACAAAAATTCAACGGAAAAATTTAGGTACCCATGTGAACGGTCCTTGTTGGTTAGTTCTCAGCCTTTGACTCTTCTCAACCCAAACCATCTCTCTATTTGGAACTCCATATTTTCTAGAATAACAGTTCCTAATTGTATGGCCTTTTTTACAGCAATAAAAGCAGGTTGTTTGTCTAGAAAAGTTGCTTTTGAATTTTCTAAAATTTTGATTTTTCACAAAAGCTTCCTTCTTTGACTTAAATGGCATGCTCATGTTTGGATTAAAACCAAGTCCACTCCTATCAAAAGTGTTTCTTTGTTTTCCAAAAAGAATGTTTAGATTGGCATTTCCATTTGTGGATTTTGCAAGTGTGGATTTTAAATCAGCATTTTCCTTTTCAAAAATTTTGCAATGTTCACAAATAGTTTTTAAGGAAGTGGAGTTTTCACAATGAGCTTCACTAAAGTTAAAGCCACCTTCAAGGAGTTCAACCTCATGGAGCATTTCGGTCCTTGCATGGAAAGCTTGGAAGAATATCAATCCTCTCCAAGTACTTCCATCAGGAGATGGGTAATGTCTTTGGTTAACCTTAATCTCTCTTAATTAGACGTGATAATCATTGCATAATAGATATCCTAATCTGCCATGTGTTCTCTGTGAGTTGTCCTTCTTTTGGATCTTCGGCAAAGCTTAAGGCCAAAGGGGTATTCGGCCAAGCTTATGGCCGAAGGGGAGTTCGGCTCAGCTTAAGGCTGAAAGGAGGGTTCGGCCAAGCCTAAGGCCGAAAAGGGTATTCGGCCATTCTTGAACCCGAAGAGGTGTTCGGTCATGGTTTGAACCGAGGGGTGATTTGAGCGCCTCCTCTTGATGGTCTTTTGCCCAGTTCTGAAGTCTTCACTTTGTTTTGGGTAAAGTACTCGGTTGTCCCTAAGGCCGAACAGGGTCTCGGCCAAGTCCAAGACTGAACAGGATTTCGTCCAAGTCCAAGGCCGAAGGGGTAATACGTGGAGATTTTGTTGGTTTAGGTGCTTGTCTCGGCCTAGGATTCGGCCGAGAGGGTGTTTACTAGTACACTGCCCCCCAAGCCCAAGGATGAAAGACGAAGGAGTTTGAGAATTTTTAGGGTTTTGGTGTTGAAGGGGGGTGTTCTGGCACGTGCACCTCGGGAGTCGTGCCCTTTCATGTCATGATTGTGACCGTTGCATGCTTTGGCTGCCTTTGGGTTTCGTGCCCTGAGGTTGTGTCCTTTCGTTTCCAAAAGCATTTATGAGGGGCTTTTGGGATGCCGGGGATTTTCCTATATATAGGGTGGTATGGTCACCACCCTTGTCGCGCTTCCTTCATAATATACACTCTGCCCCGACACCCTCATTGCTTGTAAGCCAAGTACTCATTTTCTAAGGTAGGTTCGATTTAGCTTTCAGTCGGGTCACTTGGTTTTAATGGCAACTGAAAGGGTAACCTTGTCATCTGGGTTTTTGTCCGATGCGAGGGTCTCGGCACGTAACGCCAAGGCCGAGGTGTTTGAGGGTTATCCTAGAAGCTTGGGGCTAAGTAGTGGCATCCGGAAGTTCCTCATCCGACTCAGACCTTCCCGATGCTGAGATGAGCCCTCGGGATTATAGGCAAAAATTTCCCCAGTGTGAGATGTCGGGATATGAATGGGTTGATGGTGAAGTTGCGGCGTACTTCTCGCGTTTTTATGAGAGGTGTACATGTAATTAATCTCCTCTTTTTGATTTCTTCTTTTTGAAAATTGTAATAGAGTAAGTTAGGAAAGATAAAGAATAAAAGTTTTTCAAATTTGATAAATGTTGGTTGATCTATAAGGGGTATTTTCATGGGTTTACCTGGTTCAAGTCTACCGGTCTGTTAGGATGCCTCAGCTGTATACATCACTGCACTTCCACTTGACACCTATCGTTAATTGTGGAACGGCTCCTTAGTGTGTTTACATTGGCCCGGTGGGAAGATTCGGATCCCTACCCGTTTATGTTGCGTTGGTGCCGATCCGAAGGCCCTGGGGGAGCCGACCTGGTGTTTCTTACGAAACAGGAAGGTCAGGGGGATTTCTTTTACATGTACGAGTGTTTCTTTCGAGAGCTCGGCATGTCCCTCCCTTTGGATGATTTCCAAATGGGAGTACTTCGTGTGTTGAACGTTGTGCCGACCCAATTGCATCCGAATGGGTGGGCTTATATGCAAGCGTTTCGAGTCCTTTGTAAATACCACTATATAGAGCCTAGTGTCGGTTTATTTTTACATTTTTTCTGTACTCGTCCCTCCAATAAATCAGTTAAGTGGCTATCCTTGATTAGGCATGCCGATCGGCCGCTTCTGAGGCCTTTTACTTCATCTTTTAAAGGGTTTAAATCAGGGTTTGTGAAAGTAATCATAGACCCCGTTGCCGGCCAGAGTTGTTTCTACGATGCTGAGCAGAAGCCCCTTTTCCCCTTTTATTGGACTCAGCAGCCTCAAAAATACGATGATTTTCCGGTGGAGATGATGATCGAGGCCGAGGTTTCGGCCTTAAATTACTTGAAAGAATTACCTCGGGGGATCCCTGCTCGGTTTCTGGTGCTTTTGCCCAAATCACCTCGGCCTCGCTTTGAATCTTTGGTTAACCTTAATCTCTCTTAATTAGACGTGATAATCATTGCATAATAGATATCCTAATCTGCCATGTGTTCTCTGTGAGTTGTCCTTCTTTTGGATCTTCGGCAAAGCTTAAGGCCAAAGGGGTATTCGGCCAAGCGTTTTTCATAGATTGATTATCAGTTCTAACTCTATGTCTTAAGTTTCAAAAAGTTCAAACTTATCTATAAAAGTCTCAAACCCAGATAATCGATTATTTTGGCAAATAATCGATTATTGCAGCAAGGCATCCCATTTTTCCTGTTGCTGGAATAATCGATTATATTTAACGATAATCGATTATTTTGGCAAATAATCGATTATTGCAGCAAGGCATCCCATTTTTCCTGTTGCTGGAATAATCGATTATATTTAACGATAATCGATTATTTTGAGTTAGTTTTCAAAACTTCATTTTGAGTCTCAAAATAACTTTTCCAACTTTTTCAATCATCATCATATACTCTCTACTTAGCTCACATATAGATTTGCTCATGCACACAGCATACTTAAGCACACACAATATAACAATCTATTCAAAAACAATTTATAACCTCTAAACTCTATTACATAGCACTATTACATGACATTTTCTTAATTCTTCTTTGACTTTGTTTTTGTGCTCCAAGTTGTTGTTGTACACTTGTGTTGTGATTATCAAAACTTCTTTAAGCTTCAAGCTTTCCTAAGCTCAACATATCTGACTTATTGATTTCTTTGCGAATTGAAGATAAGCATTGTATTTCAATAAAGGATT